CTTATCAAATTACCCCCCCCCATAAACATAACTAACCCCCTATTCCTCTTCCATATCATCTTTTCCCCACCATTCCTTTCATAACCACAAAAAATCAATATTATTATCTCTCTTCCTTTATTTTCAACTTCCCCCCCCTAACCCATACCTTTAATAAACACCACCCCTTCCACCCTCTTCTTCTTCATCCATCTAAATTATCCCTTTAAACCCCCTCGACTTAAACTAAATACCCACATATCAATACTACCAACACCTATTACCATACCTCCTATCCCTCCATTAACACCATACCTAAAACCCCCCACCCAACTTAACTCCTTACCCTTACCCCTTAAACCTCTTCACTTCACACCTTAACCTCTTACTAACACCTTTAAACTCCTTCACCTTTAAACCTCCAATTTAACCCTTAACTCCCCCTTAACCCTCAACTCCTTACCTTAACCTCCACTCCTTATTAAACCTTAACTCCCTACAAACTATAACTCCTTACTTACATTAACCTCCCTTATTACACCATTAACTCCTTACCTTAACCCTAACTCCTTACTTAACTCAACTCCTTCACTTACACCTTTAACCTCACTTACACATTACCTCCTTCTACTTTAAACACCCTTAAACTCCACTTACACCCTCAACTCCTTCAATTACACCTAACCTACCTTATTACCCCTAACATCCTTACTTACACCCCAACCTCCTTACTTAACCCTAACCTCCTTCACCTTTAACCAAACCCCCCCTCCCCCCTAACCCCCCCTCACTTAACACCCCTAACTCCTCACTACTTAACCTAACCTCCTCCACTTACACCTCAACCTCATTACTTCACCCTCAACCTCCTTCACTTAACCCTCAACCTCCCTCCATTACCACCCTCAACCTCCTTACCTTACAACCCACTATATACCCCTCAAACCCCACAACCATTTTCAAACCATCATCCAAACCACTACATTTCAACCACTCCCAACTACCCCAAATCTATCATATATCCAAATCAAAAAAACAATACCCCCCATTTATATTAACACCCTCCCCACCAAAATCATCCCACCCACCCACACATTTCAATCACCCCACCCACCAATTACCACCTCCCCAAACAATATTTATTCTATTATATAAAAATTTATATTTATATATATTTAAATATTTTTAAAATCCCCACTACATAACACTCACCACATTTATACCTAAATCTTTCAACCACCCAAAAAAATTCACATTTAATACACAACCACAAATACTAAACACATATAACCATACTTAAACACAAATCATTCACCATATATCAATAAAATCCAAAAAACAAACCCCTCCCCCAACACCCACTACCTTACCCCCCCCACCACATATCCCCCAAATTTAAACAACAAATTCATACAACCCACACAAAATACAAATAACCCCCTAACAAACCCCCACTACCCAAAAAAATAAAACAAACAAATACACTATAAAAAAATTCCACCCCCTACCCCCCCCCCCCCCCCAACCATATCACCCACCCCCATCCTCAAACCACAATCAAATTCAACCAAAACCCCAACAAAACAACCACACAAACCCATAACACAAAAAACCACAACTCCTAATAAACCAAACCCCACAAAAACCACACCCCCCTCACCTTAACAAACACCACCAATCACTAACCTTCAATAATACCACAACATCCAAATTAACCTCAATCCACACTTACACCATCAACTACCTAACTCCTAAACCTAAACTCCTTATTAACACCCTTAACTCTCCTGAAATAACTGTTAGCTACGAACCCCCTAAAGCTCTCACTGAAATGTATTTACTGTGTAAATGCTCGATTGTCTGTTGTACACAGTGAGCTAGCTACATTTAGCTTCATTTAGCTATCGATAGCAGCTAAGCTAACGTCCTCCCTGTGCTACTGTGCTTTATCTCGTATTATCTGCAGTATTCATGTGTTGTCATTCTGTTTTGTGCTTGTATTTAAGTTGTCGTGTGTATATTTGTATGAGAATCCCTTTCCATAAGTGTGGAGATTACCAACGAGTAATGAGTGACCGGAGTATTCTCATCTGGACCTGGTCTGGACCTGGTCTGGACCTGGTCTGGACCTGGCCTGGACCTGGTCTCACACATACGTACTTTTGACTTTGTAAACTGTTGGTTTTGCACTTTACTTTTGTTTTCAATAAATCTGTGATTGTATCCCAAGACTGTGTTTCATTCATTTATTATTATTGTAGCTGAGGTTTAGGTATCGATTGTTTGTCTGGTCTCGGAGTCTGCTGTAGTCCGGACCCGAGTCCGGACTAGCCTAGCCTAGCTTAGCCTAGCCTAGCCGCTAACTCGCTACCCCTATGGTTGCCGCTGTCTCTCCCTCGGTCCTTTACTGCTTGAATTGCCATATGACGAGTTTAAACCCTGGATCCTCCTCTGATGGTAGTGATAGATGTGTTAAGTGTAGTACAGTAGTAGCTTTGGAATCCAGGGTTAGTGAGTGAGCAGAGTCTCGAGCTAGCGCTAGCATTAGCTATAGCCTAGCAGTATCCTCGGACATGCAGCCCTCCTCCTCTGCTACACAGGCTGCTGTTGCTACAGGTCCCATTCAGATTGTACAGAGCAGTCAGCACCATTGACTTCACAGTTTCTGAGTCATTCTTTTAAGAAATAAGCATTTTCAAAAACTACTCGTGCTGTGCTGAATTTTCTATTAAAGGCGCTATACCCGTTTCTGCAATGTTTGAATGTTTAGCACCGCCCTCCAACTCGCTCACAGGCTTCTCATTTCCCCTACGCTCTCATAACACGGAGCCACCTAGTTTTATTTGCGATCTGATACTATGCTAACAATAGCATTAGCGCAACTTGTAAGCTGTACAACAATCACTGATTAAATGGCACTAAAGCAACACACTGCTAACACAATATATAAGTAAAAGAATACCATTAGTTTCGCATCTGAATGTATTAATTTAAACATTAGAATATATTCTAATATTTAATTATAATTTATTATACAGCTCCTCACAGCAGCAGTAGAACACTCCATTGACTTGAATGCAATTCTTTCAATAATTTTATCTTGATAACAGAACTCTCAAACCAATAATGACCGCAGCCCCAACGCAATCTCTGTTTGTAATTCAGGTGTGAAAAATACTGCCATTACTCTGCAAGTACAACAAGCTATCAGCGCCTGTCACTACACACTTGTCTGTGTAGAGAAGCTAGCGGAGCTAGCCACGCTCAATAAACAAATACATATCAATCAATCAACACCATTAAACGTCAATCAGACAATACAGTATACATATACATCCTTAACACACATGCACGGACGATTTCAGAATTTGCTGTCAACGTTTTCATGACAAAAATACTGTTTTAAAGTGACAAAAAGCGATCGCGAAAAACCCGGAAGTTACCATGAAACAGCTAGCTAGCTTAGCTGTTACCTGCCTAGCACGTCCCGGTGAAACCTTCGGGAGCTAACTATTTTATTTGCAGTCATTAAATACATTTCGAATTGTAAGGGCTGTCTAATATTTGTTCGAATATATATATATATATATATTTCTTTTTTTAATTTTAGAATTATATTCGAATTTTGAAGTGGAAGCCCTGGTGTTAGCAGCGCTGTAGAGACTAGAGCAGGATTTCTCAAACTGGGGTACGCGTACCCCTAGTGGTACGCGGGCGCCCTCTAGGGGTACGCCAAAGAATCTGTAAAAAAAAAAAAAAAATTCTAAAAAAAAAAAAAATTTTTTTTTTTTTTTCACAATTTTACCAGGAAAGTCCCATTGAGATTAACTCGTTGACAGCCATGGATGTCATTTGAGGACAACATTGTTTTTCAATCTTTTTCTGTCAGTCTGTGTCCCCTGTATCATACAGTCTGGGGTTTGGCTGTAGACAGTATTTTATTAAGCCAGCAGGTGGCAGCAGAACTCCCTGGTTTGGTCAAAGATCACTCTGAGCACTCTGAGCAGGAGAGACAGAGGTGAAGCAGACATGGAGTAATATAGTCAGGGTCAGGCTACATTTGGAGGCAGTTTGAGCAGTAAATCAGAATCAGAATCAGAATCATTTTTATTGCCAACGTAAGTAACGGGAGGTCACAGACTTGGAAATTGCTTTGGCTCAGTGCAACAGTCAAAAAGAGATAATAAAAATAAGAATAAAAAACACTTCTAAAGAATAAATTTAAATTTAAAATAGAGTTACAGTTACTATTTACAATATACAAGTGCCCATGGTGCACACAATGTAAGGTGACAGCAGTACAGTGAAGTAAAGTGACGTATGATGGGCAGTAAAGTGACTTTATAAAGGGCGGGGGGACAGGTTAAGAAGTGTTCAAGAGTCCAACAGCAGAGGGGAAGAAACTGTTCTTGTGGCGGGAGGTTCTAGTCCTGATGGACCGCAGCCTCCTGCCTGAGGGGAGTGGTTGGAATAGTCCATGTGCAGGGTGAGAGGGGTCGGCTGTGATACGACCAGCCCGGCCTCGAGCTCGGGCGACGTACAGGTCCTGCAGCGATGGAAGGCTGCGGCCGATCACTTCCTCTGCAGAGCGCACAATGCGCTGTAGTCTCTGTTTGTCCCTGACTGTGGCTCCAGCGAACCACACGGTGATGGAGGAGGTGAGGATGGACTCGATGATGGCCGTGTAGAACTGCACCAACATCTGTGCAGGCAGCTTGGCTTTCCTGAGCTGCCGCAGGAAGTACATCCTCTGCTGGGCCTTCTTGATGAGGGAGCTGATGGTCGGCTCCCACTTGAGGTCCTGGGTGATGGTGGTGCCCAGGAAACGGAAGGACTCCACAGAGGTGATGGGGGAGTCCATCACGGAGGGTGGGGGCGGGGGGACAGTGCTCTTCCTGAAGTCCACAATCATCTCCACTGTCTTCTGGGCGTTCAGCTCCAGGTTGTTACCACTGCACCAGGACACCAGCCGGTCCACCTCCCACCTGTAGGCGGACTCATCGTTGTTGGAGATGAGTCCAATGAGGGTGGTGTCGTCCGCGAACTTGATCAGCTTCACGGAGTCGTGGCTGGAGGTGCAGTGGTTGGTGTACAGGGAGAAGAGCAGGGGAGAAAGAACACAGCCCTGTGGGGCTCCTGTATTTATAATCCGAGAGTCCGAGACATTCTTCCCCAGACGCACTCGCTGCTTCCTGTCCGTCAGGAAGTCAGTGATCCACCTGCAGGTGGAATCGGGCACGTTGAGCTGGGAGAGCTTGTCCTGGAGCAGGGATGGCAGGATTGTGTTGAAGGCAGAGCTGAAGTCCACGAACAGGACCCTGGCGTAGGTCCCCGGGGAGTCCAGGTGCTGTAGGATGTGGTGGAGGGCCAGGTTAATGGCGTCGTCTACAGATCTGTTGGCTCTGTAGGCGAACTGCAGGGGGTCCAGGAGGGGGGAGGTGAGGGACTTGAGATGGGAGAGAACCAGACGTTCAAATGACTTCATGACGACAGACGTAAGTGCTACAGGTCTGTAGTCATTGAGTCCTGTGATCCTGGGCTTCTTCGGGACGGGGACAATGATGGAGGATTTGAAGCAGGCCGGGACATGGCAGGACTGCAGAGAGGAGTTGAAAATGTCCGTGAACACAGGAGTAAGCTCACTGGCGCAGTGTCTCAGAGTGGCCGGAGACACGTGGTCCGGGCCAGGAGCTTTGCGGGGGTGCAGCCTCAGGAAGAGTTGTTTAATCTCTTTAGCGGCTATTGTTAGGCTGGGGGCAGGGCTGATGGGTGGGTCGTTAGAGTAGTGGGGGGTGGGGGAGGGAGAGGTGTCAGGGGCAGCATCAAAGCGACTGAAAAATAAGTTCAGATCGTCAGCTAGCTTGTGGTCATCAGCACAGGGGGGGGCTTTGGGTTTGTAGTTGGTGATCTCCCGTAGGCCCCTCCAGACAGAAGCAGTATCGTTGTTACCAAACTGCTCCTGTAGTCGTTCTCTGTGCCGGGACTTGGCTGCTTTCAGTTCTTTCCTGAACTGATATTTAGCTGCTTTGTAGCCGCTGCGGTCCCCCTCCCTGAAAGCAGACTCCTTTGCTTTCCTGAGCTGCCGGAGTTTAGCAGTGAACCAGGGTTTGTCGTTGTTATAGATGACCCTGGTCCTTGTTGGAATGATGCTATCCTCACAGAAGTGAATGTATGACGTCACAGTGTCCGTATATTCATCCAAACTATCTGTGGCAGCTCTGAAAAGGTCCCAGTCTGTAGATTCCATGCATGCGCGCAGCTCTTCCACAGACCACACTTCATCAGACCACACTTTGGAGCTCCTCACTGCAGGTTTCGAGAGCTTTAGTCTCTGTCTGTAAGCAGGAACCAGATGTATCATGGAGTGATCTGAGAAGCCGAGGGCTGGCTTGGGAACAGCGCGAAAAGCTCCGCGCACGGTGGTGTAACAGTGATCCAGAGTGTTCTCCTCTCTGGTCGGGCATTTGATAAACTGTCTGTATTTGGGTAATTCCTGGCTCAAGTTTCCCTTATTAAAATCCCCCAGGATAATAATCAGAGAGTCCGGGTATAAGCGTTCCATACACAGTACTTGCTCTGCGAGTGCGCGCTGAGCCTCGCGCGCGTCCGCGCATGGCGGTATGTAAACAGAGGCAAGAATGAATGAAACAATTTCCCGCGGGGAGTAATATGGTTTACAATGAATGAAAAGATATTCCAGAGCAGGAGAGCAGTGCTTGGAGATCACTGTCACATCGTTACACCAGTTTGTATTGACGTAGAAACAGAGCCCTCCGCCTCTGCTCTTCCCTGAGAGCGCACAATGGCGATCCGCGCGAAACAGCCCAAAGCCCTGCAGCTCCAGAGCGCAGTCCGGGATCCGCTCATTTAGCCAGGTCTCAGTGAAGCAGAGGACACAGGATGTGGCGAAGTCCTTGTTTCTTCTCATGAGCAGGCTGAGTTCGTCCATCTTATTGCCCAGTGAGCGTACGTTGGAGAGAAAAATGCCGGGGAGAGCCGTGCGCGCTCCTCTCCTCCTAAGACGCACGAGCAGGCCTCTGGCTTTCCCCTTTTACGGGCCCACACTTTTTTGGCTAGAACATGAACTAAATCAGCCGCAGATGCCAAGAAAACAGGCAATAGGTCCATGGGAACGGTGGGTCGGATGTTCATAAGTTCCTCACGGGTGTAGGAACAGCCAGATGCACAGTTAAAAAGTAAAAACAAAAGAAAAAGAGAGCAGCAAAGAGCCATGTCGACCGTACGAGGCGCCATCTTTAGGTGGGACAATGTGTCTCCAGAGCTGACAGAGACCATGTGGAGGGTCCTAGCAGCAGACCATGTGGAGGCTCAGGACAGCAGACCAGTGGAGCACCTCAAAAAAGCCACAGAAAAGTGGACTATTGCTAAAATTATCACTGAGTCCACACCAGGAGCCAGCAGCAAAGTCCAGATATGGTCACAGCGCACGCTGGACTAAACAGACGCTCTGTAGATGTAACCACACAAAAACACACAAACGCGTGCATAAACGCACATACATGCACGCCCAAACACACAAAGACACACAGCAGTATTCTGTTGCACTTATACTATAAGTATAAGTATTCACTTTGATTTATTGTCATGTATAGTGTTTATCATTGTAATTTTGTTATTCTTTGATTTACTCTTATTGACATAAATATAGTGCCACCTAATGGATGAATACTGGCCATTCTATCTGGCATAGTTTGTCATGGGCTCTACTTTCAATAGCCTGTAGTGGGAGGCCTGCTGCAGCAGAAGCTGGCCTGCAGTGGCCCAGACATGGTCACACCAGGCCACACCAGGATTTTTCCACTGCCACAGTGGCGTAGTAAAAGCAAGCACAACAATGCTTTTGTAAGAAACACTCATTTTGATTTTGTTGTTCTCGTGAACTGTCTTTGGATTCTGTATGTGCTTTCAGCCAGCAAAATGTTTAAGCTAAAGTTGCGCAAAGCTTTCAAAAGAAAGCGCTGGAAATAGTTTTGAATAATGAAACATAACAGGATGGATATTAAATGCCAAATGTATTTTCTGTGTATTGAACAATGACTTTGAATATGTGGACATTGAAATTTTGTGTTTTTTGAAAAATATGTTCCCAGTGACAAACTTGCTAAGTTAAAGTATGGCTCCATGTTTATTTGAATTTGTAATTGTTTAGCTCCTGGCTTTCACAATTAAGGGGCCGGTGTGTTGGAGCCAGTTTCCTGTGTTTTCCTTTGCTGCCTCCTGCCACTGTGTGGCGCCACCTAGATAGTATGCCCTATATAAGTGGGGCACTAATGACAGACAGGTGTTGTAGTGTGGAGGCAAACATCTTTCGACCGTTGTTTGTTACCACAGCTTTATATTTGTGTACTTGGCAACAATAAAGGATTGTAGAACACAGTATTTTGCTCTATTTGGATGGTGAGAGACACGCGTCCTAGACGCCAACACACTGCATCCAGCGGACCTTGCACAGGGCAAGTTTTGGCCGCTACATTGTCGAAAGATAGCCTCAGGTACCGTCTGGGCGTGAAGATTGCGTCAGCTGTGATTGGCACAGCGCGGTTTCCTGGAGAGGAGTGGACCCACGCCTACCGTGGCGGTGACTCGTTGCCACAGGGGCGCGGCGAACCGGCGGACTGTCGGCGGGAAGGAGGAAAGGGCAAAAACACCGGAGAGAGCACCGGCGTCCTCCACCACCAGCGCGGGCGAGGGAAGACTCGGCGCGCAAACTGTCCTGTCCTGCAGCACGGATCGGACCGCAGAGGAGTGGACCGCGGAGGAGCTCGGCACCGCGTTTGGAGAAGGCTACGCGTGGTGAGCAGTTCTGATTTCTGTGTGCGACATAATTCCGCACAGACTACACGTTTAGGAGCGGTACATGGACTGTGAGGTGGACACTGTAAAAAGGAATACTGTAAAAAATGTGCACCAGGGATTTGAACAAAACTGACAAAAAAGAGAGAGCTTCAGCTGCTGCAGCTTTGGTTAAAATAAAAGCTAAGCAAGCTGCGCTTCTAGTTAAAATGTCATTTTTGGAAGAGAAATATGAACTGGAAGCAAAGCAACTAGCCATTAAGAGACAATTGGAAGAGCTGGAATTTGAAACTAAAATGACTGAAGTGACAGCTAAACTTGCAGTGTTGAATGCCTCAAAGAAGCATCGGCATAAAAATAAATCTCTTCCAATAGAGCCTAGGGTGCAAACACAAGTCCCAACCACAACTGTCCCTGCAGTTATAAAAGAAACTAGGACTGATGATGACTGGGATGGATTTAACTGGGAGCCACCAGTTTATGTACCCACTTTGGTGGGTTCACTTGAGCCAACTGGGACCGCTGATGACTGGGATGGATTTGACTGGGAGCCACCAGTTTACATTCCCACTTTGGTGGATGCGCTTGAGCCAACAGGGGCCGGTAGTGCCACACAAATGGCTGATGTGAACTGTTCATCTTCACCAGACCGTCGGGAGGACTTTGAGATTTCCCTTATGGACCATGAGCGAACGGTGACATTGGATTTGGACACTGAGACATGCTCGTGGAAAAAGATGGACAGTACAGAGGATGAAGAGCAGGAAACTTCTGCTGTTCCTGTCTTATTGACTGCCTTGCAGCCTGTAGTGGGAGGCCTGCTGCAGCAGAAGCTGGCCTGCAGTGGCCCAGACATGGTCACACCAGGCCACACCAGGATTTTTCCACTGCCACAGTGGCGTAGTAAAAGCAAGCACAACAATGCTTTTGTAAGAAACACTCATTTTGATTTTGTTGTTCTCGTGAACTGTCTTTGGATTCTGTATGTGCTTTCAGCCAGCAAAATGTGTAAGCTAAAGTTGCGCAAAGCTTTCAAAAGAAAGCGCTGGAAATAGTTTTGAATAATGAAACATAACAGGATGGATATTAAATGCCAAATGTATTTTCTGTGTATTGAACAATGACTTTGAATATGTGGACATTGAAATTTTGTGTTTTTTGAAAAATATGTTCCCAATGTGACAAACTTGCTAAGTTAAAGTATGGCTCCATGTTTATTTGAATTTGTAATTGTTTAGCTCCTGGCTTTCACAATTAAGGGGCCGGTGTGTTGGAGCCAGTTTCCTGTGTTTTCCTTTGCTGCCTCCTGCCACTGTGTGGCGCCACCTAGATAGTATGCCCTATATAAGTGGGGCACTAATGACAGACAGGTGTTGTAGTGTGGAGGCAAACATCTTTCGACCGTTGTTTGTTACCACAGCTTTATATTTGTGTACTTGGCAACAATAAAGGATTGTAGAACACAGTATTTTGCTCTATTTGGATGGTGAGAGACACGCGTCCTAGACGCCAACACACTGCATCCAGCGGACCTTGCACAGGGCAAGTTTTGGCCGCTACATGTACATTTTGACATTTTTTGGAAGAGTACATTTTGAAATTTTTGAGCAACACTTTGTGGATGTGTGTGTGCCATAAAACTTATTATTTTACATTAAAAACACTTTCTCAAAACGTGTTGCTGTTTTCTAACATGTAAGATCCTGGACATGTTTGAGGAGATGCTAAAGTTAAACTAAATAGTTTTACAATCACTTTTCTGCAGTTCGTCTGTTTTCACAAAAACCTAATTTTCTAATTTTTTTGTCTAAGACTGGTGCTTACTGGTGCTAGGTACACTCTCCTCTGTTCGACTGGAGATCACAGGAGAACGAAACAAACTAAGAACAAACTTCTTTTTGCTGCTGAAAGTAGACAGTCCTGTCTTTCAGACTCTGGTTTCATATTTTTCATAGCACACAATATTCTGTGAGTCTTAAAAATCAGTGAAGTCATCAAAAAATGGCTGGCAGTCAATGAGAACCTCTTTTTTGTGTACAAAAATTACATAAAATTACAGATGATAAAACAGTCACATACAGATGATAAAATAGTCACATACAGATTATACAACAGTAACACACAATTTCATAAAATTACGGATTATAAAAACAGTTACATTTCACTGAAGATGTCTCAATCTGGATCTAAAAGCATTCAAGGAAATAAGATCAGATCATTTCTAGTCTTTTTGCAACACGTTCCATGTAGAAGGAGCAGTTTTTTTTTCCCAGTTCTGTGCAAAAGGAACAGAGAGCAACAAACGATCATTTGATCCAAACCATGAGAACATGTCTCTGTGAGTAAACGACAGATGTAAGAGGGCAGCAGAACAAGCCTTAGAAACTAAAGTGCACCAGAGTCCAAACCTTCTGTGGACAAAGATCTCACTCCAGAATATAGCTCACAGTGAGGCTTTGCAGTTCGCAATGAATGAAACATTTAAAACATTTTTTTTTCCTATATTTAAGCGCAGTCTTACTGTTGAAACTGTTTAAAATATTACATTAAATATACTTCTTTAGGAATGAAACCTCTGCCTTGTTATTGATGAATACTTTGGCTTACTACGCTACTGTGTGGTGTTGGTCATTTGTGGTGGTACTTGGAGAGGCAAGTATTTTCTGAGGGGGTACTTGGTGTGAAAAGTTTGAGAACCACTGGACTAGAGGACGCAGGCTGTTCGCTGCTTGTTCTGTGAGCGGAGGAGAATGAGCGGCCCGCTCAGACTCTACTCAGCACTTTTCACTGCCTGAATTTCATACACAGTGGAATCAATGACCTCAAGTTTTCTATTAAATGATGTATTATGATACAACTTGTATGTAGTAAAAAGCATTTTTATGAACTACTTAGAAAAAAAATCGGGTATAGCTTCTTTAAACACTTGCTCTGATATTATAATAAATCCATGCATGTACTAGTTACGCGTCACACGTAAATGACGTGGTCTGACAACGCTGAGGACATACTGGGGGTACTATTTTTGATGGAAAAGCACGCGAACTGGGCCATGGCGCGCCGTGTAGAGTCAAAACGTACCGTACTCAGACCGTGGAAAAACGGCATTAGATAAAATATTTTCTTTTTCAGCAAAGATGGAGGAGCAGAAAAACGAGATGGAAGAAGAGGATTTTTTTTGACTGCGAGGAAACTTTGGAAGTTTTACAGAGACTGAAACTGAGCACAAAAGAGGAGAGGAGGGAGGAGGAGGAGCTGAGTGAGCAGGAGAGGAAGGAGCCCCAAACACTGATCAGTCACAGACTCAAACCCAGCCTGCAAGAAGAAGGAAATGACTTGAGTCCCACTGGAGGAGACGAGGGAAGGACACCGGAACATACAGAGGGGGCAAGGCCTTTCAATAATTTGGAGGAGGGGGAGGGGCCAGTGAAGGAGGAGGCGGAGTTTCCCTCAGAGCCTGTACAGATCGATGAAGAACATCTGCTGGAGCTCGAGAAAGAGCTGAGTAATGAGGAGCGAGAGGTGAGACTACAAGACCCACAATGCACCTGTGACATGATGTAATGTGAAGTCTACAGGTGTTACCTGAGGTCTGTAACACAGGTGTAATGTGAAGTCTGTAGCACAGGTGTAATATGAGATCTTTAACACAGGTGTAATATGAGGTCTGTAACACATGCGTAATGTGAGGTCTGTAGCACAGGTGTAATGTGAGGTCTTTAACACAGCTGTAATGTGAGGTCTTTTACACAGGTGTAATGTGAGGTCTTTAACACAGGTGTAATGTGCGGTCAGTAACACAGGTGTAATGTGAGGTCAGTAACACAAGTGTAATGTGAGGTCAATAACACTGGTGTAATGTGAGGTCAGTAACACAGGTGTAATGTGAGGTCTGTAACAGGTGTAATGTGAGGCCTTTAACACAGGTGTAATGTGAGGTCAGTAACACAGGTGTAATGGGAGGCCTGTAACACAGGTGTAATGTGTATGACAGAGCCGTCGACAGTTGAGTCTCAGCCTTAAAGACAAAGGAAACCAGCTGTTCAAGAACCAGGGTGAGTCTAAACAAAAGTGTGCGTTTACCAGGTGCACTCTGGGGCCCTGTAAGTGTGTGTATTGATGTTTTTGTTTGTTGTGTGACGGTGTATATGTGTGTGTGTGTGTGTGTGTGTCTGGTGGGTTGCTATCTTTAATTGCCACTTTTTTATTGTACACAATATATCCTAAAAATACTATTTGCCTTCAGCCTGTTTGCACACTTCTGTCTTTTGCACAAATCTTGAGTGATTCTGTCCATGCCAAATGTGACATTTAAATGTCTCTTGTGTGAGATCAATAAAGTCTATCTTATCTGAATGTTATGTGTCTCCTCAGACTGGGCGAGTGCAGAGTGTGTTTACTCCGATGTTCTGTCTGCTTGTCCTCTGAGCTTCAGCGCCGACAGAGCAGTTCTATTTTCCAACAGAGCGGCTGCCAGAGTGCACCTGGTAAACATACACACACACAGCCTTACACAACAAACACAAAACATCAACACACACACTTACAAGGCCCCAGAGTGCATCTGGTAAACACACACTCACATACAGGGCCCCAGAGTGTACCTGGTAAAAACACACACACATACAGGGCCCCAGAGTGCACCTGGTAAACATACACACACATACAGGGCCCCAGAGTGCACCTGGTAAACATACACACACATACAGGGCCCCAGAGTGCACTTGGTAAACACACACACACACATACATGGTCCCAGAGTGCACCTGGTAAACACACACACACATATACAGGGCCCCAGAGTGCACCTGGTAAACATACACACACATACAGGGCCCCAGAGTGCATCTGGTAAACATACACACACATGGACAGCAGTTTATAAACATGTTCTAAAAATTTTTTTATTTTCTCAGGACAAAAAAGACATGGCCATTGCTGACTGCTCCAAAGGTTGGTTCTACTGCAGAGTGTCCTGGTTCAAGCTCAGCAATATGGAGCAAAAAATATATCTTTAAATTATTTGCTATATCTTAATATACAATATATGCAAATCTCATGCAGAGGATCCACACACAGAAGAGAGCTAGCAGCCGGATAGCCACCAACTCTATATATTATATCTCTGGATATATTTAACTTGGCTCCTTTAGGTCCTAGTGTAACTCAGATCCTCCAGGTCCCGTTGACGTGACAGTGGCTCAGTGGGGGCGACAGTAGTAGTTTATCACCACTGTGTATGAAGTGAATGAATAATGACATGTGAAGTCTGAGTGTCCAAAAAAGCTCTATATAAAACCGATGCATTATAATTGATTGACTGCGGAACCTTCCGCAGTCAACCATTGGTTTTGTATTTCTTTATTCCGTCATTTTTTTTGACACGTTTCACAGCTTTCACATTTTCAACAATTTCCACAAGTTATACATCAAAACGTTCCACATGTTTGGGAGATTATTGCTATTACTTTTGGGACTTCAGCGATTTCCGGTTTTTCCGCAATCGGACAAAAATCTGCATTGAGAATTCTGCAATGCATTTTAATAGGCCCATGCATTTTAATAGGACTTCAGCTCTTTCAGACATTTCTACAGTTTCAATGATTCAACAGTTTCAAGGATTCAACAGTTTCAAGGATTTCAGCAGTTTCAAGATTTCAAGAGTTTCAAGGACTTCAACAGTTTCAAGGACTTCAGCAGTTTCAAGGACTTCAGCAGTTTCAAGGACTTCAGCAGTTTCAAGGACTTCAGTGTAATCATGCAACCTAATAGGGATTTTTCCATGTAAACCAGTATAATGCAACTTAATAGGGATTTTTCCATGTAAACCAGTATAATGCAACTTAATAGGGTTTTTTCATGTAAACCAGTATAATGCAACTTAATAGGGTTTTTTTTCATGTAAACCAGTATAATGCAACTTAATGGGGATTTTTCCATGTAAACCAGTATAATGCAACTTAATAGGGGTTTTTACATGTAAACCAGTATAATGCAACTTAATAGGGTTTTTTCCATGTAAACCAGTATAATGCAACTTAATAGGGGTTTTTCCATGTAAACCAGTATAATGCAACTTAATAGGGTTTTTTCCATGTAAACCAGTACAATGCAACTTAATAGGGATTTTTCCATGTAAACCAGTATAATGCAACTTAATAGGGTTTTTTACATGTAAACCAGTATAATGCAACTTAATGGGGATTTTTCCATGTAAACCAGTATTATGCAACTTAATAGGGATTTTTCCATGTAAACCAGTATAATGCAACTTAATAGGGTTTTTTCATGTAAACCAGTATAATGCAACTTAATAGGGTTTTTTTTCATGTAAACCAGTATAATGCAACTTAATGGGGATTTTTCCATGTAAACCAGTATAATGCAACTTAATAGGGGTTTTTACATGTAAACCAGTATAATGCAACTTAATAGGGTTTTTTCCATGTAAACCAGTATAATGCAACTTAATAGGGTTTTTTCCATGTAAACCAGTATAATGCAACTTAATAGGGTTTTTTCCATGTAAACCAGTACAATGCAACTTAATAGGGATTTTTCCATGTAAACCAGTATAATGCAACTTAATAGGGTTTTTTACATGTAAACCAGTATAATGCAACTTAATGGGGATTTTTCCATGTAAACCAGTATTATGCAACTTAATAGGGATTTTTCCATGTAAACCAGTATAATGCAACTTAATAGGGATTTTTCCTTGTAAACCAGTATAATGCAACTTAATAGGGTTTTTTTCATGTAAACCAGTATAATGCAACTTAATGGGGATTTTTCCATGTAAACCAGTATTATGCAACTTAATAGGGATTTTTCCATGTAAACCAGTATAATGCAACTTAATAGGGTTTTTACATGTAAACCAGTATAATGGAACTTAATAGGGGTTTTTACATGTAAACCAGTATAATGGAACTTAATAGGGGTTTTTACATGTAAACCAGTATAATGCAACTTAATAAGGATTTTTACATGTAAACCACTATAATGTAACCTAATAGGGGTTTTTACATGTAAACCAGTATAAAGCAACTTAATAGGGATTTGTACATGTAAACCAGTATAATGCAACCTAATAGGGATTTTTCCATGTAAACCAGTATAATGCAACTTAATAGAGATTTTTCCATGTAAACCAGTATAATGCAACTTAATAGGGATTTTTCCATGTAAACCAGTATAATGCAACCTAATAGGGATTTTTCCATGTAAACCAGTATAATGCAACCTAATAGGGATTTTTCCATGTAAACCAGTATAATGCAACCTAATAGGTTGCATTATACCACCAGACCAAGACCCAAACGAAGACTCAGACCACCACCAGATAATGACCACAGACCAGGTTTCCTTAGTTACAGGAACAAATTGTTTCAGCGGTGAGGGGATTTTTCAGTTTCAAGGACACTTTCAATACATTCAGTAGTTTCAAGGATTTCAACTGTTTAAGAATTTAACCAGTTTCAAGGATATCAGGAGGTTCAAGGATTTCAGGAGTTTCCACACTTTCAACAGTTTCCAGGTTTAAAAAAAGTTTCAAGGATTTCAGGAGTTTCAATGTTTCAACAGTTTCAAGGATTTCAGGAGTTTAAAGGTTTCAACAATTTCAAGGACTTCAGGAGTTTCAAATATCTATCAAGTATTTTAACAGTTTCAAGGCCTTTTAAAGGATTTCAAGGATTTTTTTTAGTAGATTTCCACATTAGATCTGTTCCGCAGTCAATCGCAATGGCTTCAGCCATTGCAAGTTTCTAGTTATAATTATCATTATTTATTATTTGTTTTCAGCCGTGGAGCTCAAGCCAGACTACCTGAAGGCTCTTCTGTGTCGCGCTGAACTCTACGAACAAACAGACAAACTGGACGAAGCTCTAGAGGACTACAAGAACATCCTGGAGAGAGACCCAGGGAACGGAGCAGCCAGAGGGGCCGCCGTGGTACACACACACACACACATGCACACACACACACACACACTCACACTGTCGGGAGTCGGGACTGTAGACCTCACAGATTACACACATGCACGCACACACACACACACAAACTTGCACAAACAAACACACACACACACACACCCACACACATACACACACACGCACGCACGCACCCACACACACACACACACACACACACACACACACACACACACACACTCACACTGTCGGGAGTCGGGACTGTAGACCTCACAGATTACACACATGCACGCACACACACACACACACACACACACACACACTCACACTCACACTGTCGGGAGTCAGGACTGTAGACCTCACAGATTACACACATCCAGACACACACAAAGAATTTTATTCCTTTCAAATCACTATTCTCAATTTCCATTTTCATAGAACACACATTTCTCTAATTGATTGATTGTTTGTTTGCAGAGACTTCTGCCTCTGATCCACGAGAGAAATGAGAAACTCAAAGAGGAAATGATGAGTATGTTACATGTTGAGCACTGGGCTGATGTGTTGTCCTGTTTTAGTGTAGGATACTGCTCTCCAGCCTTTCTCCATAGAGTGTACACGTATATGAGTGTGTTCACAGTAAAGTGACAATTGAAGTATCTAGACTTTAAAAGGTTATAACTTAAAAACTAAAATTACTTTCATAGATTGGAAGAAAGATTTCAAACACAGACACATTGAAGAGATAGTGTGGAAAAAATCTAAATGAAAGATTGACATAAAAATGTTTAGCAACATTTTAAACGACTAAATTAGCCTCTGATTGGACCATTCTACTGTGACGCCAGTTACATAGAAAATAAAATGTCCTCAGTCTGAAAAAGGAGAAGATGAAATCCCACAGATTTACATGGTTAACACAACAGAAGGAAATCACTTGATATAAAAAGGAATCGTGAAAAAAAAAAAAAAAATTAAATGACCCCTGAAAAATGTATAACGGACGTGATGAGGACGGTCCTCTTTTCTCTAAAAATTAAACTTGAGAAAAAAAAAAATCTGGTCTGTTTTCACATTTAATTGGTTGACAATATGAAAGTATCACTTTGCATCTACTTTGTGTAAAAAATAGAATCTCTGAATCAAATGTGGACATCTGAAAATACCATCAAACTTCCACAAAGCTCATTCCGTCAAATCATCACGTCCGTTACATAAAATAAACAGGGCCGCTATAGGAAACTTGTCTAATGTATAAAACAGTTTTGTTCTAGCAACTTCTAATGGACAGAGGAGGTGTTTGGAAACATGAAAAACATAAAATATCTTCTGATTATTAAAATCTAATTTTTGGCCTTTTGTCACACTTTTGTGCCCTTTAGTGTGTGCCCTTTAGTGTGAACAAGCCCAAATATACTGAGTGTACACTATAATAGTATGGTATTAAACAATGTGTGTGTGTGTGAGATATGGGGCAAATTAGTATTTAGTCAGCCACCAATTGTTGAAGTCCTGAAGTACTGAGAAAAAGAATCAAATTCTGATTTTTAAACAATATATTTGCAAATGTCTTTAGTCAATAACAAAGGTCCACTTCTTGCTGGTTCTGTCCCTGTGCTGTCCATGGCGTAGAGGACAGGCCAGAGGACTGATGTACAGCAGCAACAGTCAGATGTGTTTGTCCTCACGGTCTCTGTGGCTCGTGTGGTCAGACGCAAGACTTTATGAAATACAAAAAACAATGTCCAGAATCGCTGTCACTCTTTCTGATGTTTAAATACTGTGAGCGTGGAGCTGATCTAGTGCCAAAGGCCAAACAGCACAAACATGTGGGTATTGACTAAAAATTAAAATATGAATATATTTGAAAACATATTATTAAAAAAGTTCTGGTTGCTATTGTTGTGTCCACCAGAGGGCAGTGCAGGCAGGTAATCAATGCGGTTTTAGAAGAAACATGTCCACCCTGCTCCAGGGAAAATCAACATTTGCAACTGATACACTCAAAGATCATGCCAGTATAATATTCAGATATTAAGGGCTGTCATTTTTTTAATATTCAAATTATGTCCAAATTTCGTTTTTCCTGCATTGTTGATTGAATGCTGCAAATGTGGGCAATTAATCGGCTTTTTAAAAAATCGAATTTGTGAAAAATTTGAAAATTGTGAACTTGAATGAAGGATATTGTGAGAGTTCAATATCAGCACAGTCTGTACAAGACTTTAATAATACGTATTGGGGGAAACAAATTAATAAACGTTTTGAAACTTGAATATTGAGCGGAAAAATCAGAAATGATTTTTAAGGGCAAAGTCTGTCTTCGGTGACTTTAATGAAAATCGTTTTAAAATCGAAATCGTCCAAAGCGATGGAAATAAAATCGAGATGTACGTCCGTAAAACGGAATAGTGGCCAAACCGACTGCAGCAGCAGCAGCTCATGTGCATGAGCTGTGGCTATGATCAGTGCAAAGCACGGCATATTGAAGCATCGAGGACGTCGCAATGGATGAGGCAAAACTTATTGAAAGCAATTGGAAAAAGGGGAGAGAGAAAAGAGAAAAGAACTCCAACATATCCAGTGTTGTGAGATCTGTCTCTCATAAGTGCTAGCCTGGCTCCAGCCAACCTTTAGCCCCGCCTCCATGGAATTTCAGCTGGCTGGAGCCAGGCTACATAAGTGCAACTCTGAGTGTGTGAGTGTGTGCGTGTGTGCGTGTGTGCGTGTGTGCGTGTGTGTGTGTGTGTGTGTGTGTGTGTGTGTAATGTGTGTGCAGGTAGAGGGGACAGAGCGAGAGCAAAAAGAGCGAGGTGTATGTAAAGTTTAGCGTATTAACATTACGTGAAAAATAAATGGTAGGTTTACGATCAGGAAACAATTGTTTCAACTCAATACATGAAAAGTATTACATTTGTTAATAATCATTGTCATTAACAAATACTTATAACCAAGGACTACAGCATATATCAATACATGTTTAATAATAGGATTGTTTCTATTTCATCCGTCCGTGGCCGTTGCACCCTCCGTTGACGGAATGCGTCCGACGGACGCATGTTGGAGGCAGTGGAGCCACTTCCATTCACCCTCGTGGAGATAACGGAGAAGGAGATGAAACGGACATGTTTGGACGGATCCGTCGTCCGTTTTACGCGCCCGGTGGCCTGACTTTTTTGCCATATTGCCCAGCCCTACATCGGCGTGCGATGTGCTGCTCCAGGCTTCTACAACGATCGCACAACTGAAATTATCCCTACAGCGTCCTGTCCCGCTGCGGAAGTCTCTCTGCTTCAAATGGTGCGTGCAGTGTGTAGGGGCTGTTAGTATTAGATAGCAATATGGCCTCCATGTTTTGACTATGATGTGTCTGTCTCTGTGTGACACGTCTTTCCATGTGTGACGTGACAATGACTATATAAACTGTGTACTGACTCCATTCTGTCTGACAGAATTGAAACCACTGGAACTTGAGATAAACTTAAATAAACTTCCAGAGTTTGGCGCACCACGATCCGTCTCTGTCTGCTTCATTCCTGACAGATTTGGTGGAGGATGCGCGGCTCAGTGTGCGCCATTCTCTGGATTGTTTTGAGGGAGTTTGCTTTGTTTCTTTTTCTCGGCGTGAGAGACCGGCATGCTGTGTCTGGGAACGGAGATTCCAGCTGGAAGAGCTGTTCCTGGATGCTTCTTGTCACTTCTGTCACTTTTGTTTTTTAAATTGAATATTCCAACGCGGAAAAGAGGTTGGCAGACCTCTTGGACAGTCCTTGGTACCTGTTTGACAAGAATAAGGTAAGCAGACACCTTTTTATATGTAAAGTCTGTATAATTGGATACTAGCTAAATTTTGGTCTGTTTTTGGGGTCTGTCAAACTCTCTAAATTGTATGTGAAAAAGTCTCCGGGTTAGAGTCCCTTTGAGAAAAGTCTCGGGGTTAGAGTCCCTTTGAGAAGAAGTCTCGGGGTTAGAGTCCCTTTGAGAAGAAGTCTCGGGGTTAGAGTCCCTTTGAGAAGAAGTCTCGGGGTTAGAGTCACTTTGAGAAGAAGTCTCGGGGTTAGAGTCCCTTTGAGAAGAAGTCTCGGGGTTAGAGTCCCTTTGAGAAAAGTCTCGGGGTTAGAGTCCCTTTGAGAAGAAGTCTCGGGGTTAGAGTCCCTTTGAGAAGAAGTCTCGGGGTTGGAGTCCCTTTGAGAAGATGTCTCGGGGTTAGAGTCCCTTTGAGAAGATGTCTCGGGGTTAGAGTCCCTTTGAGAAGATGTCTCGGGGTTAGAGTCCCTTTGAGAAGATGTCTCGGGGTTAGAGTCCCTTTGAGAAGATGTTTCGGGGTTAGAGTCCCTTTGAGAAAAGTCTCTGGGTTAGAGTCCTTTTGAGAAGAAGTCTCGGGGTTAGAGTCCCTTTGAGAAGAAGTCTCGGGGTTAGAGTCCCTTTGAGAAGATGTCTCGGGGTTAGAGTCCCTTTGAGAAGATGTCTCGGGGTTAGAGTCCCTTTGAGAAGAAGTCTCGGGGTTAGAGTCCCTTTGAGAAGATGTCTCGGGGTTAGAGTCCCTTTGAGAAGAAGTCTCGGGGTTAGAGTCCCTTTGAGAAGATGTCTCGGGGTTAGAGTCCCTTTGAGAAGATGTCTCGGGGTTAGAGTCCCTTTGAGAAGATGTCTCGGGGTTAGAGTCCCTTTGAGAAGATGTCTCGGGGTTAGAGTCCCTTTGAGAAGATGTCTCGGGGTTAGAGTCCCTTTGAGAAGATGTCTCGGGGTTAGAGTCCCTTTGAGAAGAAGCTTCAGGGTTAGAGTCCCTTTGAGAAAACGTTTTCGGGGTTAGAGTCCCTTTGAGAAGAAGCTTCAGGGTTAGAGTCCCTTTGAGAAAACGTTTTCGGGGTTAGAGTCCCTTTGAGAAAAGATAGAGAAGAAGGATCCTTAGTGAAACCATGGTATAAAAGTAAAAGCAATAAAAAGGGAAACGTGTTAAGGAGGCCTTTGTTATAAAAGCTTTGAAATTGACGAATTCCAGGCTTGATAAATGACAAAAGTAAAGAAGCAACAATATTTCAGTGATCACGGTTTAAATTACATACAGAAAAAGGGAGTTTTTGTTTTTGGAGTGAACAGAGTTCACCGGAGAATGCAGAGTTTTATCTACAGTTGAGCTATGAGAGCTTTTGTGAGTTATTTACATTTTTTGCAGAGTTTTATCTACAGTTGAGCTATGAGAGGGTTGTATCCAAGAGTTGTTTTTGTTTTTTAGAAAGAGATTTTGAGTTTAAACTAGTTTGCTACCTCGATAAAATAGAAGCGTAAACGTTAAAGACAAGAGTGCCTTTTGTTACAAGTGTGGAGAGTGATCACTTCTAGACTTGGATGACAAAAGTATAAACCACAACATCAGTTATATTCGCTTAAAAAAAGTAATCTTGAAAGTTCTTCTTTCTGTTTTTGCATTTTTGCTAAAACACTACTTTCTGCCTGTGTGTGCACATCTCTATCTTGCTGCCGTTGTCAGGGGAAACGGCCCCCTCCTTTGCTACTCCGGCTCTGCATCAGAAC